ATTCATTCGTGAATATGTATAGCTTTCTGCCATACATACAATATTAATATGTGAATACAACAAGAATTACTTACGTATGTTCTATTCACATATGAATATAACAAAACATATTCATATGTGAATAAAGAAAATATGAATACATATGTTTTATTCAAATATTCATTCATGAATATGTATGTTATATTAACATAGAACATAACTTGCTGCCACACATACATTATTCAAATGTGAATACAACAAGAATCACTTACATATGTTCTATTTACATTGTGACAACTGTCAAATTTCGGTCAAGTCAAAGTCAACTAAAGTCAACAAGTCAAACCGTTTGACTCAATTTGCCCTTGGGTACTAGAATTTACATTATGAAATTTCTACACAACTCTCTATTCTAATGAGAGATCATAAATCAAAAAGTGCGAACATCTAGATCTCCTTAATCTAAAACTGTGGTACGTGGCTAGCCAAACCGATAAAACAATGTTGCATACTCATCGGGAGTGTGTAAGATCCTAAAACAAGGCTTAACAGGGTTTACAAACCTTGCCTTGCGAAGCCAGACACTCACAAATGCCACACTCGAAACCTCTCTCAATTGTTTTCACTCTATCTCTCTCTATTTGAAATCTCTCTAAGTATGTGAAACCTCTCCCAAAAATCTCTTTGTATGAGAAATCTCTCCAAGAATATCAAATCTCTCCCAAATCTCTCCAAGTATGTGAAATCCCTCTTAAATATCTCTCTGTATGAGAAATCTCTCCAAGAATGTCAAATCTCTCCCTAATCTCTCCAAGTATGTGAAATCTCTCGCAAAAGTCTCTTTGTATGAGAAATCTCTCCAAGAATATCAAATCTCTCCCAAATCTCTCCAAGTATGTGAAATCTCTCTCAAATATCTCTCTGTATGAGAAATCTCTCCAAGAATGTCAAATCTCTCCCTAATCTCTCCAAGTATGTGAAATCTCTCGCAAAAATCTCTTTGTATGATAAATCTCTCCAAGAATATCAAATCTCTCCCAAATCTCTCCAAATGTGGGAAATCTCTCCCAAATCTCTCTCAAAAGTTTTCCGTAACTTTTTAGAATCATTCGGGTCATTCCGACCCTTAACCTGGTCAAAAACGGCTTAAAACGGAGTGAAAACGAGTGAAATAGGCTTTAGGAACCGAAACCCTTCTTAGGAACCGAAACCCTTCTTAGGAAGAGAAGCCTCTCGGACCGAAAGTAAGGAGAGAAGCCTCTCGGTCTCTGTTCTCTCTTCTCTCCTCTCTGTCTCTTCTCTTCTCTCGGTCTCTCTTCTCCCCTCTCGGTTCCCTCTCTCTCCTTTCTCCCCTCTCGGTTCCTGCTCTCCCTCTTCTCCCCTCTCGGTTTCTTCCCTCTCTCCTCTCGGTTTCAGCATCAGAAGGCCGAACCTCGGTCAGATTTCGGAAATTTGTCACTTTTAGCCCCTTTTTGATTTTTTTAACATTTTAAGCCCGTTTTTCGTGATTTTAAAGCGGGATTTTCTCCAGAAATTATATTTTAACATAATAAACTCTAAATATCCATAATTTAAACATATTTTGATGAAAATCATTGTTTAAATAATAAAAATCAAATGGGTGAATTATTAAAGGTGGAGTGTTGACTTTGCCTTATCCAATGTCACAAGCAACCACCCCACACCCACTCTAAGACCAGCCATACCTCCCCACCTTACCTAGGTCACTTCAATATCCCTTACACTCAATTTACACTCATTCCCACGTTTTTAGAGCTGGAACAAACATCCTCTCTCCTCATTTCTCTCATTTGCTCTCATTTCACTAAGTATCAAACACCACTTTTCTCTCAAACTTTTTCTCCACCAAACTCGAGATTCAAGGCTGATTATCAAGTGTTCTTCCACATTTGGTAAGCATAATCCATTCTCCTTGTGATTATCTCACTTATTTCCACACAAATCAAAGATATCTTACACAAACTCCATCATATTTGTGTTAGATCTTCAAATCTTCAAGCAATCTTCCCAAGTGTTCTGGAGTTGAACACCCCTTCTCTCCATCATCCATCCACTGAAATCACTCAAGGTGAGTTCATACCCCTACATTTTCATGTTTTCTCAAGTTTTCAGGGGGGGAATACAAGTTAAAACACCAAGAACATAACTAAAATTTTCTAACAGCCTTCATCAGAAAATTTCGACTCCATTCACGGACTGTTTTGGGCATCTTAAACATTTTTGTTTTTAAAACGGTACAAGGTGCAAATAGTTCAAGTTCTTAGCTTTAAAATGGCTACTTGCACATCTCCATACGATGTTTCTACAATTTATGGTGATTTTTACAAAACTGCCTATCATTTCAAATAACAATCCGGACCAGTCTGTGATTTTGGACTTATTCACCCAAGTTGGAGGTCGTTAAAAATCATGATAAAAATTATGAATAAACTAGACACATTTTTTGAACTCTCAAAATTTACGGATCTAGTTTTCGACTTCGTAGGATTTTTCTATGATTTTTCCAAAACAGGGCAGAATGGCTAATGTTAGCCAACAACATGTAAATGTCATAACACTTTGTATTATGTTGAGCAAAGTGTATAATCATAAGTTCTAATTATTGAATGTGTTTCCTTGTTAGTTTATCATCATGAACTGAAACTAAGTCATTCATAATAAATATTATTCATTCATTTTAGAACACGTATATTAAACTATAAAAAGTATAGTTTGATAAATTCATAACACTAATACATTTCCATAAAAGAGTTCACACATGTTACATACATTTTAGATAAATTATAATAGGTATAGTTTATGATACATCACTCAACACACTCGTACAGAAAGGGTACATTCATATAGAAAAGATTTATATTCACATACATTTCACGTAAACTTGTTAACCTATATTGTGAGACTCTCTCTCTCTCTTTCTCCCCGTACGTCCGAGTGCAGGATATAATTCCTGGTAGTTATAATCAGAATCTCCTTGAGGGAGAACGTGATACTTGTATATAGATCTATATTGGGTTTGACACCCCACACCTTGCTGCTACTTACAGTGGGACCTGCAGGTCTACGGGTGACAAATGTCATTTCAGTTTTCGCGATGCCTGAGAATGTCGTGGCAGGTTCACATAGTCCTAGTATGATTATAGCGACTCACATAGGGATATAACAATCCATAAGTTTACGGGATTTTATTTTTAAAACCTAAATGAGTTTTATGTCGATTTAAAATCACTTTTTATCTCTATGAGTACAGATATTACTGTACACTTTTGGTTATGGTAGTTACGACTACACATCATTTGAAACCACATTTATACCTTTAAGTATGGTCAATACTTGTTATTATTCGGTCCTCTAATTTAGGACTACGTATATATAAAGTATTAACAAACATGAGAACATACATAAATTTCATTTAATTCAAACACGTCCATGTCCATTTAAGTACATAACATTTTCTATTAATAAGAAATGTTACTTATACATTTTGGTCTTCAGTCATAAGACTACATTACACAAACTTTAAAGAAAATATTGGATTTTCTGGATACATATTCTAACGCTTTTACAAGGAAAACGATTTACTTTTCTAACGAAATCTCTTATGAACTCACCAACCTTTGTGTTGACACTTTTCAAAACTATTTGTATTCTCAGGAATTCAGTGAAAACAGGAAATCAACAAAGTTTTGAGGATGGGACGATAAATCGTCAAACAGTTCATTTTGTATCATAATGTAATTGATGTGAATCATGTAAACATGTGCTTTGATGTAACGTTTTCAATTATATTTGTGTTGGTTGTATTTACTTTGAGCACTATTATACTCATTGTTGTGATACTCTACATGAAGTCCTCCACCCCCGGACGTTTCCGCCATCCTTGGTTTGGGGGTGTGACAACATATGAATATAACAAAACATATTCATATGTGAATAAAGAAAATAAGAATACATATGTTTTATTCAAATATTCATTCGTGAATATGTATGTTATATTCACATAGAACATAACTTGCTACCATACATACATTATTCATATGCGAATACAACAAGAATTACTTACATATGTTCTATTCACATATGAATATAGAAAACATATTCATATGTGAATAAAAAAATATGAATACACATTTTTATTCAAATATTCATTCGTGAATATGTATGTTATATTCACATATGAATAGAACATAGCTTGCTGCCATACATACATTACTCAAATGTGAATACAACAAGAATCACTTACATATGTTCTATTCACATATGAATATAACAAAACATATTCATACGTGAATAAAAAAATATGAATACATATGTTTTATTCGAATATTCATTCGTGAATATGTATGTTATATTCACATATGAATAGAACATAGCTTGCTGCCATACATACATTATTCAAATGTGAATACAACAAGAATCACTTACATATGTTCTATTCACATATGAATATAACAAAACATATTCATATGTGAATAAAAAAATATGAATACATATGTTTTATTTGAATATTCATTCGTAAATATCAAACTCATTTATCTTCTACTTACTATTGAATGAAGGTAAGAGCACTAACATTTCCGATAAAGATTCACCAACAATGAGAGAAACAAGATCAACGCAGAAGAGGAAAAATGCGAAAGGTACAAAATTCCTATCATATCTAATATATTCATATATAATAAAATTGTATATATTAGTTATATTTTTGAAATAAATAAATATTAATAAAACAACGAGCATATATCATATTCATATATCAGTAACTTATTCAAATATTATATGTTTTCATTTCCCAGATAAAAAAGAAACAAAAGTACCAAAGAAAATGAAGCATCAAAGCAGGAAAAGTCCATCAAAAAGGAAAACTCCTGAAAAACAACAACTACAAGATTCAGACTCTGATTTTGAAAGTAGTCATCAATCGAAGAAGGCATAAAAAAAGGAGTCACCAATCAAAAAAGACAAAAAAAAAAAAACCAATGGTAAAAGAATTTTACTCAATGAAAAATAGATGTTCACCAGAGGCATTACTATCTATAATCCTTGGGATGAGCAAAGAACAAAAAGAATCTGTAAGATCTATGGGTTTTGGAGCTTTGTTAAAAATGAAAATCACGAATATACCACTGAAACTGGGATTTTATGTTCTTCAAAAATTTGATTCTGAAAGAATGGTGATAGATATTGAAGGAAAGGAATTGAAAGTAACAGCAGAGTCTGTTCATGACATGTTGGGCATACCAATTGGTGGAACCAAACTTACACAACTGGATCAATGGCCTAAGGATGATACAAGTTATGATGAATGGATGCAACAATTTAAAAAAGATTCAATCATCCGACTGAGTGCAATCAAAAATGTTATTGTTTCTACCACACAAGCTGATTTCAATTTCAAATTGAACTTCTTAGTTATTTTTGTAAACACTTTTTTCCAGTCAACATCAATGGGAAGATGCAACCGGTTTCCCTTGAGTTATATTTCAAGAAAAACAGATATCAGCAACATAGACTGGTGCAACTATGTTTTGGACTGTCTTGTCAGAACAAAAAACTCATACATACCATACTCAGATAACAACTTCTTTGTTGGACCTTCAGCTTTCTTGGTGGTAAGTTATTATAATGTTTGTACTCAATTTTTAATAATATTGATTATTCATAATCTAATAGCAAATATTCATATATGAATAAGAAAAATATATTTGTTCACACGTAATGCTTTACATTACTTATTCATTTATGAATAAGTAAAAAATAATATTGCTTGTTCATATATGAATATCAATTAATTATCATTTATGTGCAGTTGTTCTATGCTGATAACATCCACTCAGAAGCTTTAACAGTAACATGTAAACGTCCAACAATTTGTTATTGGAGTTCAGAGAAGATTAGATATCGAGAGACATTTGAAAAAGAAAAAGGTAGATTTGGAGTTGGAGAATTAAACGAAGAATTTGTTAATGAACAAAATGAAGGAGATACAGATCTCGAAGATAGTGATTCTGATAAAGATGAAGATCATTCTGTTTAGGTAATTAGTTTTAACATGTTAATAATATATGATTACATTAAATTATTATATTAAATTCTAATCATATACTTCTTTTTGTTACATAGGCATATGAATCAAAAATATCAAAAGTGATTAATAGTTTTGAGAGGATGAAGGAAAAGTTGAATTCAAAGCTTAATGATACGATGACAAAGTTCCCTGAAAAGGAAAGTTTTAGAATTTTCAAAGAAAAGATGAAAAATATGATTGTTGAAGAAAAAACTGAAAGCACAACACTTTTTAATTTTCCAATTAATGAAATTGGAGTTGAAGGAATCAATTTGACACAAATAATGGGTCAAAAAACAAATGATCAAACAGAAAATGAAGATAAAGAGGGAAATGGTGAAGAAGACAGTGATAATGGTGCAAGTCAACCAGAAGTAGATTATTTGCTTGATTCAAATGAAGCAGATAATGAAGAAATAAAGAATGATGCAGATAAGAATCAAAGAGAAGGTGAAATTAGAGTAAAAGAGAAAGATGCAAAGAGGAATGAAAATCAGAATGATGAAGAAGAAAAAAATGATCATGCTGAGGAAACAAATAATCATGAAGAGACTATTCAACAAATTGAAAATCAAAATTTGTTGGATAAAGTTGTTGACAACATTGTGGACAATGTCCTTGGAATTGGAGTTTCAAGTTTAAATAGTCAAGAAGATGAAATCTGGAATCACCCTGAAATGAAAACTATTTTCGATAATATTGATATAGGTAAATTTTGTCTTAATTTTATTTTTAAAAAATATATAAAAATATCAATACACAATAACAATTTTGTTTGTTAAATTTTGACCAGGGTCACCAATGAGTACAGGTAAAACTAATACTCTTGCAGAAAAGGAAAAATCAGAAGGTGTACATGAACAAGGAACAAAAGTCGAAAAAACAAAGGGAGATGATACAGTTAAATGAATGATTTAAAATATATTATAATATTTATATTGATTTTTTTAATAACATTGTTTATTCATAAATGAATAATATACTATATAAATGAATAAAAAATAAAAAATATTCATATATGATGTATATGTTTCAGGCAAGGAAAACTCTGAGGATAGAAATGAAGGAGGAACAGAAGCTAAGAACATGAAAGATGGAGGTGAAGAAAAACAAACAGAAATTGAAGAAAGAAATGCAGAAGATAGAGGTAAATAGTTGATTCACTAATAAATGAATATAGTAAGTTTTATTATTCATAAATGAATAACACAATATATGAATAAATAAAAAATATAGTATTACTTATTCATAAATAATGATATGTATTACTTATTCATAAATGAATACATTACTTATTCACATATGAATTACTTAATCACATTTCTTTATCTTTCAGGAAAGAAAAAGTCAGAGAATCAAAACAAGAAAGGAGAAAAAGGAGAAAAAGCTGACAAGACAAAAGGAAATAAAGGAGGTAACAATTTGGATAAACATTTCAAAATATAAACTCAAATATTATAATTACCTTACAACTATTTATATGATAAATCTCCTGGCATGCAGATACTCATCCAAGCTTTAGTCTAGGTCTCAGTCAAGATTCAGATTAAACTTCAAGTAAAAAATCTAATGAATCTTGACCAAAAAAAGCACTTACAAAGAAACAAATCAATGACGACCATCAGAAGGTTGTTATCAGATTAGCAAAGAAAAATGTTCTTAATCCAAATCCAATCTCTGTATCAATTCCTACTGAAGTAGGACCATCAAATCATGATATGGATCAACCAAGAGATAAGAAGCTTGCTGATGCTTTCAAATCACCTTTCAAATGCAGAATAACAGACGCAAAACCCAAACTGACACATCAGGAGAGTATTGTTTGTGAATGGTTGTTCAACTTACAAGGCAATACATCGTAAGTAACTTTATTTTATATACATTCATATATGATTATTATATAGATAATAATCTATGACAATTTGATTATATATTCGTAGAGATGTGGTTGTCCAGAAAAAATATGGTCAGATAGCAGAAAGAGCAGTTATGGAAAGTCTATATGCAAACACATAGATTTTTAGAGAAGTTTTAGACACTTGGTTTGATTTACTTAACCACCAAGAACTGGAAAGGGATTTGGAAATTCACCATACAAACTCTTCTTGAAAGTTGGAGTTTCTGTAAGTTTATGTTCTAACCTTAATTCCTTCCTTATTCATAAATGAATACACCAATATGATGTATTCATTTATGAATATTATATTTTTTTACAACTTAAATTCATATATGATTATACAAATATGATGTATTCTTTAACATAATTATATATATTCAACCGAAATTCACATATGATTATATTGGTTACAGACTGCTTATCTAACTTCAACATTGTCTGATGAAAGAAAGTATGAAAAATTCAAGGAGAACTTTCATGACAGTACCAATGGGTACACAAAAATCTTGAACATAAAAGATATTGACATGGTATGTTAATTAAAGTTCTTTTTATATATATATTTTATCAACAAAATACTTACCATTATATACATAAAAACAGGTATTCTTTCCAGTTGTTAGAAGTGCTCACATTTTTGTGATTGTCTTCAACTTAAAGAAACTGTCAATTGAAATTCTAGACAATAGTGCAGTTGAGGGGGATTATGAAGGGAAATACGGAGTAATAATGAAACCTTTGGTATGTACCCAGTTCATAACAACATAAAAGAACCAATTTATTACATATCTAACTTTTATTTTATTTAATGATCAGAAAAATTTGTTTGTGAGATACTTTAAAGAAATAAACCATCCAAGAGAAAACGCAATCTCAAAAGAAAGTATCAAACCCAAACGAATTGAAATGTCATGGAGAACAGTTAAAAACAAAGTTGATTGTGGGGTCTTTGCAATGAGACATATGGAGACCTATATGGGACAACCACTCGCAAAGTGGAAACCAGGTCTTCATTAAGAAAGTGCAGTTCAGCAAACTACTTTAGAGAAGCTCAGGCAAAGGTATGCACACGTAAGGCTAACTTCTGAAATTAACATGTTGAAGGCTAAGGTGTTGGATCTTGCTGAAAAATATCAAAAAGTTGAATTCAAAGTGCGTACTGATCATGCATACAAGGCTATGCAAACAATTCAAAAAAGGTTAAAAGAATTAATGATTGCTTGTGAAGATGAAAGAATGTTGAAGTGTGATGCTATAGAACAGTTTGTGTTGAAGATGAATGGATTTGAAGTACATGTAAGATGATTCTGCGAAACAAGTTTTAAATGGTTTATTAAATATTGTTGAACATCGTTTTAATATTTTGTGAAAGGCTTGTGAACAGCTTTTATTATCTTGTGTTGAATGATTATGTAATAGAAACAACTTTGCTTATTTCTGTCAGTTTTTTATATTTAAATATTTTCAAAGTTTATTTATGTTTATTTATAAATGAATACGAATATGATATCTTCATTTATGATTAAATTAGGAGTAATATGTCAGTATAACAAAGTTCATATATGAATATAACAAATTTCATATATGAATATAACTAACTTATTAGTAGAAACAAGTTTGCTTATTTATGTCATTTTTTTATATTCAAATATTTTCAAAATTTATTTTTATTTATTCATAAATGAATATGAATATGATATATTCATTTATGAATAAATTCAACGTAATATGTTAGTATAACAAAGTTCAGATATTAACATAAAAAAGTTCAGATATGAATATTACTTATTTATTAGTATAACAAATTTCACATATTTATATTCATTTATAAATAATTTACAATATCAATATAACTTATTTTATAGTAATTTACAAAACAAATATCAACATATCAATTTACCATATCAATATAAATGTGTATTATTCATACATGAATATTATTGTTTATTGTTTTTATCTGCATATATTCATAAATGAATAAAAAAAATCCCTAACTGTCTTTTGCTGATTTAGCAGCTCCAACTCTTTCTGGACAAGTACGTAAATTGTGTGGAACTCGCTTTCCACATCCTGAACACATTCTATGTTCTTTTTTAGAATTTTCATATCCTACTTCACCTGCACATGGAATTCTTTTCTTGATTCCAGAACCTTTATTGCTTTGAACTTCAGGAACATGAATATTAATCTCTTCTGGAATAGGAATAATAACACCCAAAAGCTTGCACACGACTTCACCATCTGTCTTGCTTTTCAATCCAGTAGAAATATAATCACTCTCAAATTCCTTCAACAACATTTGTTGTTTCTCAGCAAACAAAGCCAATTTCTTTTTGTCATCTCTTATAATATCCAAACATGATTCAACACTATAATAGGAATCATTGACTAGCTTTACATTCTCATAATCACCTGAATCGGATTGAACAGAACTAAAACGATAATTTCTTGATATTACATCCTTTCTCCATCTCTTCAAAATGTACTTTTCAGGAATTTCTTTAACACCACATCACATCATTATTGTAAAAGCATGTCTACATAAAACACCCATACACTTAAAATGTTCACATTTGCAATTTATTTCTTTCTCTTCAGCTTTTATTTCAACCTGATACAAAAACAAAATTTAAACATTTACATTCATATAAGAATACTGTCACACCCCGAAAACCGAAGGCGGAAACATTTCCGGGGTTGACTCCACATTGAGTATGAAATCCAATGCACATAGTAAGTAAAGTAAAACAACCATTACATTACATAAGAAAAGTTTTACAGTTGTTTCAAAAGTAAAGTTTGTACAGTTGTGATACATAGTATATATATATATATATATATATATATATATATATATATATATATATATATATGAGCAAAATGAAACGTGTCTTCTGAGTACTCCGTCTTCGAGCAAAAAATCTTCGGGTACTGGTTCTAACGCTGACTTGAGAACACAAGTAGTTTGAAAATCAACATAATGCTGGTGAGTTCATAAGCGATTTTTGTTTGTGAAAATGTTCAAGTTTCCTTTCTGTTTCTGAAATGTTATGCACCAAGAAAATCCCATATTTTCTTAAAAAGGTTGGTTATCGTTTATCAACATGTAAAGTAAAGTTGTACACTGAAAAACATGTTTTCTCTTGTAAAGATGTATAGTTAGGTTATCTGGATTGACATACTGTTCTGGTTATGTACCAATGTATTTCCAGGAAAGTCCCATACTTTCCTGATTGTGTTACCAATTGTGAAAGATATAAAGTTATCCGGTCTGTTATCCTTTCTGGTTATGTAAACGTTCCCCAGGAAAGTCCCATACTTTCCTGAATGTTTGTTACTGTATGTAAAAGATGTATTCCTATTAGACCTGGTTATGTACAAGGTTTCCCAGGAAAGTCCCATACTTTCCTAAATGTTGGTTACCGTATGTGAAAGATGTATTCCTGTTAGACCTGGTTATCTTGTGAATTGTATAAACTTGTTCATTATTACTATAAGTAAATCTCTGTTATCCTAATTGTGAGTTCCATAACCATACGATGGACTAAACCTGTGGCGATAAGTAGTCCACATACTTATGACTTTCGTCACCCTTGAACCATTTTGGTTCGGCTGTAGCTAGCAGCCAGGTGTGGGGTAGTCAGCCCCGTATAAATCTATACACTCAAGTCACACTCTCTAAATCCCAGAGATTCTGGTTACGGGTGTAGTCCTCCACTCGCGTATCTCTGTGGTGTGTTCGCCGAGGACGTGTCTCCAATCATACAGGATTAACAAATTTACTAGTAATCATATGATAGTCCTCCACTCGCGTATATATGTGGAGTGTTGCCGAGGACAAACCAATGTACATGTATTATATTCAAATGTCTAATGTCATGCTTTTAACTGATAAAATGTGGAAGACCATTTGTGAAATATATGTAAAACATAACAGTTTAAAACCCATTTCACAAATATATGTTACTTGATCGGCGTGTTCAAATGGTTATTAGTTGTAGTAATCAGTGTTAAAAGCATATAATAATGTGAAATACACATTTGAAAACATGTTTTGAGTACAAGTAATCTCTTGTACTTTGCTTGTGTTCCCCCGTGAAAACAGTGAAAACAGTGAAAAAGGGTAGGGGTATGAACTCACCGGACTCGGAAATGCGACGTTTTCGAACACTAGACGTTGGTTCGGGGCTTGATTACTCACGATGTACCTATGTAAAATGTAATAATGTCCATATATATCTAATTAGATTTACAATCACTAATTATATGGAACATTACACTCCAACGAGGTTAAACACCTCAAAACGAGCGTTTGGAGTGACCCGGGTGACATCTTCGGACGTGTAATGGCACTAGGGACTTGGGATTTGAGTTTACTCCCCAAGAGTAAACATTTAAGGGAGTTTACAGCCACAAAACACACACATACATGAGTTTACAGCCGTAAACTCATGTTGGTATGATTTTGAGTGTTTAATGGCTTGTTTGGACATAGGGATTGTTCGAATGGATTTCTAAAATGCCTTGGAGTTGATTAAATGAATTTATACCACTTAAAAGGGAGTTTACGGCCCTAAACTTGGAGTTTACGGCCGTAAACTCACCCATGGTCAAGAATGATTAATTTGAGGTACAAAGGACAATCACATGTGATTCTAGTTAATTTTCCAAACCTTGTTATGGATTTAGGGCACCATTTAACACACTTATAGGAGTTTACGGCCCAGGAGATGTTCTATGTCCGTAAACTCTCATATGTAGGGTATTTGATGTGTTTAAGGTCCCCAAACTATTTTTAGATGGTTCTAGGATTTACCACAAGACTATTGGTTAAGTTTCAAGGCATTCTAACATGTAAAAATGAGTTTGTCCCCCATGTTTGAGGAGTTTACGGCCCAAGCACATGCCTTGGCCGTAAAATCTTGTTTGTCCCTCAAAATGCATGTTTAGGGTGTTCCAAGTCCAGGTTTGTAAGCCTCAAAGTCGTATCTAAGTCCCAACTATGATTTGGAAGGGTTAAATGGCTCAAAAACCCCATTTTTGTGTGTTTACGGCCCAAGCTTCCTCCTTGGCCGTAAACACATGTTCCAGGTCCTAAATCTCATTTTAATCCCGGATTTGAAGGCCTAAGAGGTTGAATAACAAGCTAGGAAGGTTACCTCTATGATTTGGAGCCTTAAATCTTTGATTTTGGACCTTAATTTGGAGTGAGGAGAGAGGTTAGAGAGAGAGTAGTGAGATGAAGCCAAAAGCTTCAAATGAAGGCTTAGAACACATTATATAGTGTCTAAGTTTTGGACACGATGGAATTCTACCCGATACCGGCATTAGGCGAGGCTTTTGGTCGTACCCGATTAAGTTGCCGTAACCCGATATGGTAAATTCTAGAAATATTCCGATCACTAATATGGGGTGTTAAAACGATTTCTAATTGTATTAAGACACCCATTAAGTCATTTTAGATACGTACAAGTTAATGACTTAATTAAATAAGAAAATCGGAATCGAATTTGAAAACGACGATTGGTTGCTTGAATTGAACTACGAAAGAGTTACAAGAAGTGGTACGAAAATTTCGGGTTGTTACATTATCCCCCCGTTAAAGGGAATTTCGTCCCGAAATTCAAAGTTGACAAGATACAAATCATGGATCTGGAAAGAGTTGTGAATACTTCTGTTTCATTGAATCTTCCCGCTCCCAAGTGAATTCCGTTCCCCGCTTGGCATTCCAGTGAACCTTCACTAACGGGATGCGACTTTGCTTTGTACGTTTGACTTCTCGATCCATGATTTTGATCGGTTCCTCCATAAAGTTGAGGTTTTCATTGATCTCGATATCGTCTATGGGAATCACTAGGGTTTCATCGGATAGGCACTTTTTGAGATTTGAGACATGGAAGACAGGATGAATGTTACTGAGTTCGTGAGGTAAACAAAGTTTATAGGCAACCGGACCGATCCTGGAGAGGATCTCCAAGGGTCCAATGTATCTAGGGTTAAGTTTCCCACGTTTACCAAAACGTACAGTGCCTTTCTAGGGCGAGACTTTCAATAGAACACGGTCTCCAACCTGGAATTCTAGAGGTTTCCAACGGTTATCAGCGTAAGTCTTTTGGCGATCTCGTGAAGTTTTCAATCGACCTCGAATGTAATGACCCAATTTTCATGTCCGAAAATTTCATTTTAAAATATTACTTTAGAAAACATTAATAGATAAAAACATTGTTTGATCACACCATAACACATCGCAAACCATGTTTTAAAAAGTCAAACCATACATCCCATCAAAATATCAGAGTATAATC